AACAAAGATGCACACAGATTCTGCAAGTAGTACAAATGGTCCCAAAATAATCAAATTCTAGACTGTTGGAAACAAACAAGAATAAATATTTATTGACGTGCTTATAATGGGTTACTTTTGTGACCACGATTTGCAAACATGAACAATGCATTCTTCGTCAAATCCAAACAGGCATTAATGTTGAGAAACCCTTGTCACATGGATAATAGGCCTTGCATAATTTAGCATAACTTAAAATAACTTCTGACTATTCTTTAATCATTCCTCCGAGAACTTATTGTCTAATCTAAAATCCAAGTAATGTGCTCCAATTTATGTGAGAAGTTAGATTATAAACCTTAATGAAGGTTATCAAGGATAGGACGAGGAATAGACAACAATCAGGTGGTAAAATTTGTTAAAAAGAAAACATATTACATACCAGGGTATTGGCGAAATAGCTCCACTGTAATTCACTATATAAGGCGCTACTGCTACTGTCTTGAGAGTTAACAAATACATGGTTACCAAAAATTTATATTAAGAAAAAAAATTATGAAATGCAAATTAATTGTATACCTTTGAGTAATCTCTTATTCGGATATAGAACACTGGTGTAAATTGAGAAAGAAAGCGATAGTGCAAATCTTTGGTTGGAAAGCCAAAAAGGCCCAAGTCGGCACTGCATAATTAACAGATTCTAATGTAAGATGAAAAGTATATTTCTAATGTAAGATGAAAAGTATATTCAGAGATAGCAAAATCAGATTCCAATGGATGGTCAATAAGGATTACCGCAATGTGTCTAGTTCAAGATTAAATAGAAGTGTTGGGGTTGACATGGCAAATGTTTCCTGCAAATCCCAAAGAGTTACAGTTGGAAAAGAGGCAGCAGCAGCAGCAATAATACTTCACACAATAATTGACAGATTCAATAACACCAGCCACACAATTCTCATGATTTAAAATGTGAAACAGTCAACTTCAGAACGCAGACACTTCAAACTTATAACAAGACGATGACACCTTTAGACTCGATGCTATACTTAGCTACAGAATTGGAATAAGATTATGTAGCCGGGAAATGGCATATATACTACACCTTAACATTTTAAGATGCCCAATAAATCAAATTATCAATTCAATTGTACATGGAATTTAGTAAATACGTAAAACAAGTGCACTTGTGAGTTGAACCTGAAAATATGCATAAGACTACATGTTCCTAAAACCACAGGCCTCGGATCCAGTAATAGAGGGAGTACACATTTGATAGATCACTAAATAACCAATGCTAGCACATTTAATTTCTTGACCTCTGTAATTTTCAAGTTCATAATCTTGAAATGGCTTAGCAGAGTTTTGTGCGTCAGTTTCTAGATCTTCTAGATTAAACGACTGTTTTTTTTTAGATTCCAAAAGATAAATCTGCAGCACTAGAAAGATTACTGGTATCAAACTAATCTTACAGAAATATATTGATTGGGAAATATCAATTAATATAACTAGCATGCGAAAGTTATGACACCATAAGAAACCCTTAAAAGTTTTCAAGTCCAAAACCATAGTTAATACTTATAGAAGTATACAATCATCAAACATAAAACTCATATATATATATATATATATATAACAAAATTTAATGGTAGGAACGAGCATTCATCTATCAAATGATATTAAAATCATGACTGCAAGTCAAACATTCAAAATGGTTGAGAGAACTAAAAAAGAGGAGACCATACCACATACTTCTCTATTGGAGCAAGCTCACGAGTGCTACAATTTATGAAAATATAAAGAGAGGGAGGCTGACTGGATGCCCAGCGACCTGCAATTGTAAGATATAACATAGTGATGAAAACTAGTACTCCACGGATAAAATGGATCATACGTTGAACAAAAAGAAAGCAATCAAATTAGCATGAAAATCTTCAGTTGAGATGAAATTAAGAAGAGGAACACAAGCATTCATTTGACGAAATAAACAAGCAAGCATTTGAGTCCTATATTATAAATTCATAATCAACCTTCATTTTCATCTTCAAAGTCAAAATCAAGTGTGTCCCTTATAGATTGGAAGAACTTGGTGACTGGACCACTGGGGACATCATCCAGGGAACCTATTGTTATATCATCGAGCTGAAAGAAAATAATCAAAATGAAAAAAACGATTTAGAGAGCTTAATGTTGAACGGTAATCTACTTACTCAAGAGCCCTTTTGGCAATATTTCACCTTTTCTGATCGCAAAGTTATTCTCAATCACTAAATCAATTCTGAATTTGTGGGGTGAGGAGATCTGGTGCATTTAAATTACACAAAGAAATTAGAGAATAGTAAAATTCTGAGTTATGTTTTTACTGAGTCGATAGCCGTTTTGAACTGCTCAGAGGCCCTGCGCTTTTCTGGCTTATCAGGAAACACCTGAAGATAGAAATTTTTTAGCATACTCTTTAAATTGACAAAATAAAATGTCTATGTGAAACAAAGATTCTTCTTACAATGCAAGCTCTTGTTTCCCGTATTTCTTTGAGCTTCCTTACAACAGCCAAGACAAGTTGTACATTCGCATCAATGAATTCATCTGAAGACCCCTTTTACATGTTTAGGAAGTTGAGAAAATTATGTCTCATGTATTCAGATTGCTATGTGTCATCAAGAAGCTATATCACTGTAATTGATAAGATGAAATCAAAGAACAATGATTTGGGGCTAAAGTATAGCATTTTTTTCTTTGGGGTTGGGGCGTAAGTGTAGCATAACTTTAAAGTTTAAGTAGCGCCAAGAAAAACAGAACACAAAAAACAAGTAACACTGATGACTACATAGAGTGGAAACAGGATGCATCTTATAAGGAACTAGTGGAAAGTGAACAGAACCTTTAATAAACAATAGCGTGTGACCATTATGGGTCATCCAGTAATCTAATAACTTGGTAGCAAAAAGAGATACCTTATAAGAAGATATGTCGCTAGGCAGGGGACTGGAGGCACAAGCTCGAAAATATAAGGTACATGAAAAAGAATAAGTATTAGAAGGGCAAAAATATTATATCCAACCAAGCGTCTAAACAATAAGAAACATACCAAAATGCTCATCCAAGTGGAAAGATAGTTTGGAATCCCAAAGAAAAGAATGAACTCACATTATCTAGTAGTCTCTAAACTGCATAACATTCTTTTAACAAACTTCCATAAATATTTTACATTATTATTAGCATTTCCAAGGTAATGTGCCCTTTATCATGCACTGTCTTAACCAAGTTTTTATTTCGTCAAGTAAGCTTCCCGAAGCCTTGTTCTACTTCTTTGTTGCCCCATAAGCTTCTCAGCCTTTGTAAGATAAATTCCATCTTTTTCCTAAATGGAAAGTTATTTATAGTACCAAACATGTCAAGATTCCCAAAATTACAGTGTGCTCAACATCGTCATAAATAACATTAATCCCTAATTGATCATGCCTGAGCTTCACTTAGTTAACATATATTTCTCTGATCAATGGGCGAGGTGGGATTCGAACTTAGGATCTCTTTGAACATTCAATAGAGAAATACAACTAGACAAAGAACTAGCTGGTACGCTGACCGAACATATATGAATTCAACACCATGGAAGGTAAATTTCAGCAGCGATATCTAATCCCAAAGGCTACTTTCAGGAATGATGTACGTATATGGAGATTTTACAATCTAAAACAAGAAATTTATAACAAAAGATAAACCGAATCAGTCCAAATGCACTGAAATAGCATGCTCACAAATGAACATTCTAAGCTGGGTTTTACTAAAACCATTCCAAGCTAGATTAACCAAATGGGCACCAAGAAACCACTCTGAAAATTACCAATTTCCCATGAAACAAACAAAAGTTAGAAACTTCAAAATCTTCCATAACTTGTACTGCAATTTCTCTCAAAACTCAAAAATTCTAATCGAAATAAACGTACAAAAGAGCAAGAGGACTTACGGGAAATCAATCTCCAAGCGGGTCTTCCCGTCTTCGAGAGCATAAGCAAGCGATCTTGCAGCATCAGTAACAAGAACTTCATAGGACTTGGGCTTGTAGACTGCAATTCCAGACGTTGGATCGGCGCTCGAAGCCGAAGAGGCCTTATCGACGCACTTGATTCTTCTGCTATTCGATGGAGATTTCGGAAGCGCTGGAGAAGTTGGGAAGGCGGAGAGGGTGGTGGCAGTCCTGGGTAAGGAAGAGAGAGAAGTGTGAGAGAGAAATGAGTGGTGCGTTGGGCAATAAGGAGAGAGAATGCGAGGTGTTGATGACAAGGCCATGGCCATGGCCATCTCAGTGTTTTGGGGATTTTGGTGTGCGGGAGAGAGGTGGAGGGAAAAGAAACTGAAATGGATTATTAGACGAATGATGATAAGGAATTTGAAGGACTCTGCTGTTGCTCCTGCTGGGTCCTCACAGGTTTATTTTGATTTTGACAATTATTAGATATATTTTTATATCACACATTATTTTGACAATCATTAGTTTTCATGCTGGTTTGGTATTGCTGTGCTTTGAAAAAAAATTGCTGCGAGAATAAACGGTTATGCTGTGAGAATAAGCGGTTGTGAAATAAATCAGCAGACTGTTTGGTAAACTTTTTTGTAAAAGTGCTTTTGGAAAAAAAAAAACAGTCTGATTGTGGGTCTTTTCATTAAAGGAGCACTGTACTTCCGCGTGTGCTTTGAAAAAAAAGCCAGTTTTCCAAAGCTGCAAATAGCATCTTCAGCTTTTTCTTTTGATTTCAGCTTATTCTCACAGCAGCTTCCAAAATCAGCCTTTTTTTTCAGTTTACCAAATACTTAAAACCCTCACAATTTTTTTTTATGGGTGTTTTTTTTAAGCACCTAACTCCCAAACCAGGTCTTCGTCTTATCGTGTTGTATAGGGTGGAGGGTGGGCTTATTTCAATTTCATCCGCTCACAATTTAACAGTTTACCGCTGTTACAAACAACGCAATATCTTACGTCTTTTTTTAGTATTCACGCTCTTCCTTCAGACTCTTCGCAAACGGAAAAAAAAATAAATAAAAAATAAAAAAGCGGAGAGTAGTCAAATCATACGTAATTTGTGGGAGGACTCCACAGCGTAGAGAGAGGGGACTGAAATTAACGATGCAATAATGGCTCAGCAGAGGCAGTCAGGGCTGGAGCGGTTGGGATTACGCGGCCACGATCCCCACCATTCCAACGGCGGAGGACGACCAGATCACCTCGTCGTAGGGATCCGCTCCGCTCCCCACAAGCCCGTTCGGACCCGCCGATCGGGTCGATCCGACAAGGGCCCACTTAGAATCTCCGTTGGCGCCGTCGTCCTCGTCCTCTCTCTAGTCCTCCTTGCCACTCTTCTCGCCTACTATTACCTCTCCCGCAGCAGCGGAGGTATGTATGTTTTGCTTTTGCTTGTCAATTTTCTACAATAACTTTCTGTTTGGTTTCAGGGAAAATGTAGGAAAGGAAAGGAGAGTTAGTTAGTTGTCAATCTTATGCACTTTGAATGTTTGGTGGCGACTGCCTTTGTTTGGTTGCTGAGAAAATATAGAAACAGTGATCATTCTAGTTTAGTTTCTTAGTTGATTTCGCATTTCGGTTTCGGAGAGAACCAAGTGTTTCTGCAATGAAAGATCTGTGTTACAGTTCATTTTAGCTAAGCATATGATCATGTTTTGTTAAGCAGAAAGAGCGAAACATTCGGAGAAAAAGAGCTTGTCACTATGTTTCACTTGCATTCTGAGTATTTAATGTGCTGGTTTGATTGTCGATAATATACAGGAAAAGGATCAACCCAATTAATTGTTTAATTTCCTTTCCATGGTTGTTGAAGAAATGTTACAAAATACGCCTTTACATTTTTGTTATGATTAACTCAACAGTATGTGGTTATGGAAGTATATGGATTCTAGCTCAAGTGATTGCTTTCTCGTGTTGGTGCAGAAATAAATAGTCATGCTGAGGAAGACGACTTGAAGAATGATCCTGACTTTCTCGCAAACGTGACACGTACAGAGACTTCTAAGGTCCTTAGGTTTGGAAAGGGTTCGGTAGTTCATGGCCGAGATTCTAGGTATTGGGATAAAGATGATAGGAGAAGGGATGAAGATTATAACGAGGATGAGGTGGAGCATAGTAGTGCAGGTGTTAGGGATAAATCCACATATAAGGGTGATGTTCCTGTGAGTGTTAAAAGCAGTGACAAGAAGTCCTCAAATGACTACTTAAGTAAAAGTTACAATAGGAAAGGGGGATTGTACAACGAAGCTGGGCGCAATGAGTTGAAAGTTTATGAAGCAGAGTATGAGGCCTCTCTGAAGAACATTCAACAGTATAAGGATGAAGATTTGGATAAGCAAAAGGATGAAGATTTGGATAAGCAAAAGGATGAAGATTTGGTTAAGCAAAAGGATGTAATTGATGTTGATGACGAATATGATGACGGGATTGATTTTCATGAAACTCACATGGATGAATATAATGATACAAGACATCAGAATGATGACCATTTTGGTGAAGAAAAATCACATGATGATGGTAGAGATGTTCCTGATGTTAGAATTAATGATCAAAATGTTCCCGAGAAGGTTGATAAAGTCTCCGCCAATTCATTTGAAAATGACTCTGCTCAGCACTCTGGAAACCTGGATGAAGTTAACACAAAATCCAGGCATGTGAGTGTAATTTCTGGTCAATCTTCAAGAAAGTCGCGGTCCGGTACGAAAAAGAAAGCTAAGCGCCGCAAATATTCTGGTAAATTATCTGTTTGTTCTTGTAGATTGGTGTGTGTGAACCATGTTTAATTACATTTATCTTTCATTTATTGATATTGGATTCAGCTTGCACTAGTGAAATGCATCTTGGCTTCTTCTTCTGAATCTAAAATTCATTTGCACTTTGCATGCTATTGATTGTAAATTAGAATCTCTATGAAAATCAGAGAAGTACTCCTTAGTACAGACAAAACAGTTAGTTCTTATTTCAAATCATAGAAGTGCTACTGAGTGCAGACAGAACAGTTAATTCTTTTTGCAGCTGAGTAACTGCATAATTTCAGTATACTGGTATAATATGGAAGTGACTTTTCATCTACTCCCCATACTATACAACAACATCAAAGCCTTATCCCACGAAATGGGGTCGGCTGTATGAATCCTAGAACGCCACTGCGCTCGGATTTGCACCAAGTCTTCCGTTAGCTCCAAGTACTCCATGTCTTTTCTTAAAGTCTCTTTCCATTTCTTCTTAGGTCTTCGTAGGTCTTCCTCTACCCCTTTTGCCTTGATCCTCAGTCTCGTAATCACATTTTCTAACCAAAGCATATGTAGGTCTTCGTTTCACATGTCTAAACCACCTTAATCGATTTTCTCTCATCTTATCTTCAATTGCGGCCACTCCTACTTGACATCGAACATCCTCGTACTTGATTTTTTTCCTTTCTTGTGTGCCTACACATCCAACAAAGCATTCTCATCTCTTCTACACTTATTTTTTGCACGTGTTGATGCTTGACCGCCCAACATTTTGTACCATAAAGCATTGTTGGCCTTATTGTCGTCCTATAAAAATTTTCCTTGTGCTTTAGTAGCATAGACGGTCGCACAACACACCCGATGCACTCTTCCACTTCATCCATCTAGCTTGTATTCTACGGTTGAGATCTCCATTGAATTCTCCGTTCTTTTGCAAGATAAATCTAAGCTAACAAAAGCGTTCACTCTTTGGTACTTCTTGATCTCCAATACTCACCCCTATTTCATTTAGAACCCCATTCTTGCACTCTATATACTCTGTCGTTGACCTACTTAGGCGAAGACCTTTAGATTCCAACACTTCCCACCAAAGGTTAAGCTTCGCATTTACTACCTCCTGTATTTCATCTACGGGCACTATATCATCTCCAAAAAGCATGGATATCATCTTGAATATGTCCGTTAACTCATCTATTAACAATGCAAAAAGTTAAGGACTTAAAGTTGAGCCGATGAACCCTATGGTTATGGGAAAGCTTTCAGTTTGTATTTCATGAGTTCTTACTGCAATCATTGCTCCATCGTACATGTCCTTTATTGCTTGGATATATGCTACTTGTACTCCTTTCTTCTCTAGAATCCTCCAAAGAATTTCTTTTGGACCCTACCAAACGCTTTTTTCAAATCTATAAAGGCCATGTGCAAATCTTTAATCCTTTTGCGTATCTCTATATAGTTTCATCAATCTCTGTCAGGGATAGATTGCCTCCATAGTTGAGCGCCCTGGCATGAATGCGAATTGATTGTTTGAGACCCTTGTCTCTTTCTAGTCTATGCTCAATTACTTTCTCCTCCCAAAGCTTCATTGTATGACTCATTAACTTAATACTCCTATAGTTCATTTATGTCACCCTAATTCTTGTAAATAGGCACCAAAGTGCTTTTTCGCCACTCATTTGGTATTCTTCGTTTTCAAAATCTTAGTGAAAAGGTTTGTGAGCCATGCTATACCCGTCTCTTCAAAGACCTTCCACACTTCGATCAGTATACCTTTGGGACCCACTGCTTTTCTATGCTTCATCTTTTTCAAAGCTACAACCACTTCTTTTTTCCTGGTTTGGCAATAGGAGTAATTTCTACACTCCCCATACTATATGTCCTTAATTTATTTCAATTACTACAAAAAAGGAAAAGGAAGCCGCTAGATTACTACAGCGTTCTCAAGTTGTCGGTAGTACAATAAAATCATGACCGTAGTGTTGAGTCCTTAAACTTCATTAACCTCAAAGGAACCGATCATGGTTTTGCTTGGTTAATTTTTATGGTTCTGTATCAATACATTTTTGGCTTCGCAAATTTGGCATGTCTTAAACTTATACGTATTGCCAGTCCTACATGCACTAGGTGGCACTGGAAGAACAAAACTTGAGCTTGGCAATGATTGTTTGATGCTGCTCCTTATGTATAAGAACTGGTTTTGTGAATCATGATATTTTCTTGTGCATGTTCTCTTGGAGTAACAAATTTCAGGTGTTTATAGGAAGTGGTTGTTAGGAGTAAATGCTGTGAATTAGACCATGACTGGTTGGAAGAGCCATTATACCTGTTTTTTTTCTGGCTTGGTTTTTGAAGGATTGTTTTATGCATATAGTTGAATGTGTCTTCATGACAGGAGTTGTCCTTTGATCTAGCAACTTTAGGGGATGCTCCTTGTTGCTGCTGTTGTGTTTTTGACACGTCATAATGAAATTCTTCAGGTTCCTCTTGTGAGATGAAGTTTTTAAACTCTAGTGCAATGCTTATAGAGCCTTTAGAAAGTCGAAAGTTTGCAAGATTCAGCTTGCAGTATGCTGAAGTAGAGGACAAGCCTGAAGGAGAAGAGCAATGGGAACCGAGATTTGCGGGACATCAATCTGTGCAAGAACGGGAAAATTCCTTTTTGGCACGTGATCAAAACATAAAGTGCGGCTTTGTTAAAGGTCCTCAAGGATCCCCAAGCACTGGATTTGACTTGGCAGAAGATGACAGAAATTACATCAGCAGATGCCACATCGCTGTTAGCTCTTGTATCTTTGGAAATTCAGATCGCTTGAGGACACCTTATGATAAAATGGTAAGGAGGTTCATTTTTTATGGGGGAACAATTTTATACTGTTCTCTTAAGGATGTAATTGCATTTGTTTGATGTTCTCCAGTTTTCATATCATCTTTCTTGTCAAGGAAAAACAAAAAAATGTTTCATATCATCTTTGTCAAGCATTGGGCTTTTACCATCCATTGACACAGGAGTAAATTGAAGTTTTACGCCATGACATGTTAAGCTGGGTTTGATGAATGAAAACAAAAGGGAATATGGACTATTACTCATGTCATATGTAAGTGAAATATGGAACTATAACTCATAGGATTAACGGTAGACATTATACCTTTTACACCATATCATGCCTTTTGCTTCATGTCATAACTTTTACAATAACTTTTACACCTACCAATAAATAACAATGTTTCGGGCCTTTCTCTTATTACATGGTTGTTCAACTCTCACATGATAGAGCAAGTCCAGTGCATTTCTAGTGAGAAAAAGGAAGTCAATTACGAATCTCCAAGGTTTGTGTTGTTCATTACTGAACTTGTGGAATATAGTGTCTGCTGTGTACTGTGATTAGAGTGGAACATGGACCTTTTATGATCTAAGCTTGCAACACTCTTTTAAGTTGAAATTCAATGATGTGCAATGTAGACCAACACATCAAATGTAACTTTGGGATTGAACTTGCTTCACTATTTGGGATAATCTCAGACATTCTTCACTTCATCAGGTCCACTTTATGCTCAGTAGGATTTTATTTTCCCATATTTCAGAGTTGTGATTTTTCTTGTCCCATGTTCTGGTTAAATCACACATTTGTTTATATGATTCTAATACTTGGGCTGGTCTTCTTTAATGGTCTTATAGTTATCCACTGGAAATTTCCAATAACAATGCACTTTTTAGTTTATTAATTTTTTTTTTTATCTTTATTCAGTTTAAAAAAAAAAAGAAGGTAAGATTCTTTGATTTAGGCATAAATTTGCAATAAATGGCATAGCCAACAAAGGGGAAAAGAAATACAGAGTAAAAAAGAATGGTGACCCAAGCGAAATTCTCTTGATTTCAGGTCTCTCGTTTGTCAAGGAAGAATGTTTGTTTTGTTATGTTCATTGATGAAGTTACTTTGCAAACCCTAACTGCTGAAGGGCGAACACCAGATAGGATGGGTTTTATTGGTTTATGGAAGATTGTGGTGGTGAAGAACCTACCATACACTGATATGCGGCGAGTGGGAAAGATACCAAAACTTTTGCCTCATCGCCTTTTTCCTTCTGCAAGGTGAGACTTTGACTACTAAAATGTACTAATTGTCATGTTGTAGGTGGTTAGTTATACTTAGTAGCTGCCTTTAAAGGTTGTAAAAAAGATGCTAACTTGTGTGTGTATGCATGTTAGTTGTGTAGATTATGTTGTGCGTGTGCATCTGTGTCCATAATAGTTATGAAAAACAGTTATTAAATGTGAGTCATTACTCAAATATTCTGCTCTCAGTAATCAAGTCTTACCGAAAATGATTCACATCTTGAAGAATACTAGGAAGTGTGACATTAAGCCAACAATTGAGGAATATTACTACAATAGGACTTGTGCTTTTGTATGCTTTGCTTGTTGGGTATGTTCATTTGGTGGGTGGTGTTTTTCCTTAGCTCGTCTAAAACCCTTCCATAAATTTTCAGGTATTCAATCTGGCTGGACAGTAAATTGCGCCTCCAACTTGACCCCTTGGTCATATTGGAATACTTTTTGTGGCGAAAAGGTCATGAGTATGCAATTTCCAATCACTACGACCGACACTGTGTGTGGGAAGAGGTTGCACAGAATAAGAGATTGAATAAGTATAACCATACCGTCATAGATCAACAATTTACATTCTACCAGGCTGATGGCCTAACAAGATTTAATGCCTCGGATCCCAACAGGCTTCTTTCCAGCAGTATGATTTTATTAAATGAGAAAAAAGAGTGTTTTCATTATAATATTTTGACTGCAATGCGCTTGCTTGTACCAATCCATGACATAATTTGTTTTATCACATCTGCAGATGTACCAGAAGGGTCTTTTATCATCCGGGCGCACACTCCAATGTCAAACTTGTTTTCCTGTCTATGGTTCAATGAGGTTGAGCGTTTTACCCCTCGTGATCAGCTAAGTTTTGCTTATACATACCAGAAGTTAACAAGGATGAATCCGGGAAAGCCTTTTCATCTTAACATGTTCAAGGTATGATTGGTTATAGCCAAACTGAATATAAACTAGGTGAATAATTTCGATTTGATTCAATTACCGTAAAAATTACCTCTTCTCACCTCAAACGACATGAGGTGAATAGTAAGAACCGACATGAGGTGAATAGTAAGAATAACAGTGCTTGGATGCCTTATGGATAAGGACTAAGAAGTTATTCTCCTCACAAGCTTATGTGGGTAAATCCCAATTCACACCTCAATCTTGCGAGGAGGAATACTCCTTATGCATAAGAAGCCAAGCATTTTTCTCTTTAAGAATAGAAAAAAGGGGCGTGGATTGGATATAAATTTCTGCTTCTCTTCTGTCAATATCGCAGGATTGCGAGAGGAGAGCCATAGCTAAGTTGTTTCACCACAGGTCAGAAGAGAAGAGGAGTATTCGGAAAAAAGCAACAGAGTAGAGTTTCTTTGGCTTTTCTGCAACTGCTTTATACAAATGGTGTTTGGCCACGCTCCACTGTGTAGAAGTGCCGACTGGCTACACGGTACACAGAAATTTTGCACTTTCAGTGTGAGAAGACTATAATGATGGTTAAATTTTCTTTTTCCAGAGAGTTCTTGGGGGTGAAGTAAGCGTTGCTGCAGCTGCTTTTGCCGCTGATTCCGCTCTTTAGAAAAGAAACATAACCCTGCAGGCAAGCTACATTGGCTTCTTGGTTGTATTCCTCTCATTTTTTGATTCGTTGCTCCATATCTGGATTCTGGAGGCAAGTGAAGTCGCAACACGCTTACTGCAACTGACACTGTATCCAAATCATAGGTCGATTCATGCATTTTACACCAGATGGATATTTTTCGGTTTCGTTGTTTTTGTAATTGCTCGTTCAAGCATGTACCATATGCATATATTCTTTTAGGCAATACAATTCATTTCTCTGAACTGACCTTGTAATCCACTTTGCCCTCACTTTTTACTTTAAAACCCGTATTTCGGTTTAATTTGGGATATACTGGTTCAGTTCGATCTTCGTTAAGTTGAAGCTCAGCTCCCTCTACCTTTCGGTTTAAAATGCTACCGGTGGACAGGCAACTGTTTTCCCTTTGCACGCTATTATCCAAAATGTTTCGATCGATGCGTATTTATTTCCCTTTGCACATTATAATTACCTCAGAAAGTGTAATATTTTCTTTCATGGTCAGTAATTTCATGAGAATATAACCTGTTTGGTATCCTATTTGAAATTTTTTATCATTTCTCAAAACATTTTTTAAAGACAATTTTCTTTAAAACTCAAAAACTTGATTGATTTTCAATTTAAAATTTTTAAATCTTACGATTTAAACTAGACAAAGAGATCTAAAAAGAGAGGGTCGCATGAGAGGGAGAAAGAGGATAGACGAGAAAAGAAAGTAAGTGATGATTGAAAGAAAGAGGAAGAAGAGAGAGGATTGGACGGGACAAAGAGGAAGGGGAATGAGAAAAGAATCGAGAGAATGAATAGAGTGGATTGGAGGAGAGACGAAAAAGGTTAAAAAAAAAAAAAGAGGAGAGAGAAAGAATAAAAGAGAGGGAGATAGATTTGGAGTGAGGGGAGGGTGAGTTTAAGTTTAAAAATTCTAAAAACTCACTTTTTATGTTTTTAGAGAGTAGACTATTTTTTAGTTAGTCTTAAGTTTAGTTTTTTAAAATAGTCCTACGACTCCTACCAAATAAGTTTTTAAGTCGTAAAACTTGAAAATTGTTTTTTAATTTAAAAAGTTGGCTTCAAGTAGAGTACCAAACAGGCTCTAAAGATTTTCATATAAACGACCTTAAGAATTTGAAATTTAAGCTTCACTGCAACTATTCAAACAACTGCTACAGCTTCAGAATATGAGGCTGCAAAGCTATACATCTCTCCAACTAGAAGAAGGAATTAATTGATAAAAGTGGTAGCAAGAGCAAAGAAAGCTCGACAGATACGCCATCACCACTTGCAAATACACTAATATACCAAAACTTCCAATAGTTACCTAGACAAAGATTTACTGCTTTCTGAAAAGACTAATAATGCCATTGGCAAATGACTTCATATTCCCCCAAAGAGATGATGTCTTCGATGGCTCTGCATCTTCAGCCTGCGTACTGGAACGCTCTCTGCAAAACGAATAATTTTGTATTACATCCAAATCAAACTCAAGAAAGGGTGTTCAAGTGAAATGTCTAGTTTAACACTTGCCCACATAACTTAATTGTTGATAAAGAGATTCGGATGAAGAGACTGAGCATGGCCTTTGACCAAACTTTTATCGAAAAAAAATTAAAATAAGTAGATTTGACATTTTCAGATGGGATTAGCTATTATGCCTTCATCGCATATAATTATCGTGAATTGAGAGCTTAACCATGGAAAACGACAAGGAAATTACCATGCTCATTGGTTTGCTAACTTCTGACTCATGGATTGGTGGTTCGTTAACATTCCACCAACCATGGTAGAAGAGGTAACATACAAAGATAATATCATGTTCCTGAACTTAAATTTCTGCATGTGCTTAGGGCCCTATTTCTTTGATAGGAATCAAGAATATTGAGAAGAGAGAAGTATAAAATAAGACAGAAAAGGAAGCGGCAAACGAAAAATGAAGACCAATCCAGAAGAATTATATACAAAGGAAAATTCCTTGAAGTGCTTTGGATAAGATAGAGAGGCCTACAAGCAAATCAGAAATACAATCGTATTTATCTTGGGCAGATATGCGAGACGATAAGACATAATACTTCATAGCTTGAACCCATGGAAACACAGTTACAAGCAAATCAAACACTAATCTTTTATCCGTACACTTAATGTCCATCCTTATACCAGTAAGTAATTATGATTTTTCATTCAATTACATTGTCCCCATGCCCAAGCATGACATAAATATATGAGAGAAGGGGCACATGAAGAGCTACAGGGTTAAATAAAAGCAGAAGAGTACCCTGACTAGGAGTATCAATGAAGTTGAACTTATAGAATTAGATGGAGATCTCAACCATAGAATACAAGCTGGATGGATGAAGTGGAAGAGTGCATCCGGCGTGTTGTGTGACCGCCGTATGCCACTGAAGCTCAAGGGAAAATTTTATAGGACGGCAATAAGGCCGGCGATGCTGTATGGCACAGAATGTTGGGCGGTGAAGCATCAACACGTACACAAAATGGGTGTAGCGGAGATGAGGATGCTTCGTTGGATGTGTGGGCACACGAGAAAGGATAAGATTAGGAATGAGGATATCCGGGGTAAAATAGGAGTAGCCGAAATTGAAGGAAAGATGAGAGAAAATCGGTTACGGTGGTTTGGACATGTGCAAAGAAGGCCTACTGACGCTCCGATTAGAAGATGCGACTATGGGACAGAGGTTCAGGGCCGAAGGGGTAGAGGAAGACCTAGGAAAACTTTGGAAGAGACTCTAAGAAAAGACTTAGAGTACTTGGATCTAACGAAGGACATGACACAGGACCGAGCACAATGGCGTTCTAAGATTCATATAGCCGATCCCACTCAGTGACTTGGATTTTCCAAGTCTCCAACCGAGAAGTTTTCCTCACTCAGGAAATTAAGGGAACACTACCTCAACCTACATGCTCCACTCACAAAGCTTCAACAACAAAAGAAAATTCAAAGAACTTAGCGAAGAAGGCTTTGGTGTATTTAACACAATACGTTGAAATGAAGGAAAGCTTATTTATTGATATCCCCGATAAGCTACAAATATGTACATATACATGAGTCAAAATAAACAAACAAGAGGAGCCTTCACAAAGGTTGCTTAGGAGAAGTCTCAGCAGTCGGTAGAGCCCCAGAAAGAGAAGGCACCGGAGGGGGATCATTCGGAGCCTCAGTACTGGACAGAACCCTAGAAGGAGGAGGCATCAGAGGTTGATCATTTGGAGCTTCATTACGCGGTACAGCCCCAGAAGACGAAGGCAATAAATGCCTTTGGAACAAACCCACAAATCTCTGATGATGATCAAGTAAAACCTGACCATCAGATTCCTTCATCTGGTCAAGCTTCCTCTTCATGTTTGTAGCATAGTCATGTGCGAGCCGGTGCAACTGTTTATTCTCATGCTTGAGCCCTCTAATCTCCTGTTTGAGACTCATCACTTCAGCCGCCAATGATTCAACTTGGCGGGTTCGAGCAAATAGGCGTTGGGCCATATTAGACACAGAACCTGCACACTGAACACTGAGAGCCAGAGAATCCTTAACAGCTAACTCATCAGACCGTTTGGAAAGTAGTCTGTTATCTTTGGGAGTGAGAAGGTTCCTGGCCACCACCGCAGCGGTCATATCATTCTTCATCACGGAATCCCCAACGGTAAGAGGACCAGTAGGGGAGACGAAGGATGGGCGCCATATGTTGTCTGGAGAAGGCGGGGCTGCCTCTTCAACAAGGTTCAAGTCAAAACGACGGTCGGAGGGGCCAGACATTTTCAAAGGTGTTGAAGAGAGAAAGAGGTCGAACAAATCAAGATCTTAGAAGTGCAAGAATGGAGCTTCTACTGGTGGAGATTCAAGTGTGCTTTGGAACTTAATGCCAGCCCCTATAAAAATCTGCACTCGACGGAGCTTCAGAAATCGAAGAGGCGCCTGCTCAGAAATCGAAGAGGCGTTTGCTTTCTCAAAAGCTGGGCTGCTCAGAGACCACGAGGGTCGATCTCAGAAATCGAAGAGGCGTTTGCTTTCTCAAAAGTTGGGCTGCTCAAAGACCACGAAGGCCGATCTCAGAAATCGAAGAGGCGCTTGCTTTCTCAAAAGCTGGGCTGCTCAGAGACCACGAGGGCCGATCTCAGAAATCGAAGAGGCACCTACTTTTCCAGCCTTGTCAGCACCTGTCACACGCACACTCAGCTTTGCGGAAATTATGGGCATTCTGTCGAAAACTTCTGGTGAAGTAGAAAAGCACATGAATCTTACTGTTCAATCACCCACTTCCCACACGCAACAGTAGCTCATGGGTACCACAGATAACTTTGCCAAAGTTCTCTGCCAAAGTTGAGCACGTGAAGCTTGCAGCTCCCACTACATCGCTCTGACCAAGAAGGGTAAAAGAATAGCAAAGAAACAGCACTAACAAAGTTTAGACACATAAATTTTGAAGGTCTAGCTACCATATTATTACCCACAAGGGTAAAGGAACAGTACCACTGCTGGATAATTGGAAAGTCCCTGTGTGTCAACCTCTGTGCTTCGTGGCAAGGTAGACTAGCAAACATGCCCAACCTTTACTCACATTCGAGAAAACACTCCCAACAAGATTGCTTGCTCCAAAATCGAAGAGGCACCGTCCTCCGAATCTCGAGAGCCAGACTCCCAACATGACTACTTTCTCAAAAATCGAAGAGAGGGTAAAGGAACAGTACCATTGCTGGATAATTGGAAAGTCCTTGTGTGTCAACCTCTGTGCTTCGTGGCAAGGTAGACTAGCAAACATGCCCAACCTTTACTCACATTCGAGAAAACACTCCCAACAAGATTGCTTGCTCCAAAATCGAAGAGGCACCGCCCTCCGAATCTCGAGAGCCAGACTCCCAACATGATTACTTTCTCAAAAATCGAAGAGACACCGCTCTCCGAATCTCGAGAGCCAGACCCCCAGCATGATTGCTTTCTCAAAAATCGAAGAGACATCGTTCTCCGAATCTCGAGAGCCAGATCCCTGATAGGATTGCTTGTTCGAAAACCGAAGAGGCAACACTTTCCCAACCACAAGAGCCGGATCTCCTTGGATAAAGCTGTCTGTAATCTTCACACGCAACATCAGCTTTCCACATACCACAGACCACTTTTTCAAAGTGCTCTGACAGGGTAAAGGAATAGCATTACTACTTGTTGTTAAGGAGACTCTTATATATGTCAACCTCTATCCCCAACGGACAGACAGACCTGCAAAAATGCTCAACCCTTCCTCATATATGAGAGGGCACTCTCAACGAAGCCTTTCGAAATATTCAGCTT